ATAGGTTTAAAAATATGGGCACAGAAACGGGATGCTTGAATAACATACTTGAGTGAACAGCATTGTAGTTCTCATACTAACCAGTAGTTGTTCTTTTTTTTAGAAACAATGATTTAGGCATTTTTATGCATGTCTTTAATGTCTTTCTAACATATTTTATATGTTTAACATTTATTTACACTGTGAATAGAAATTAAATGATGTAGAAAATGATATGATGCAGCCTGAATATTAATGGAATTAAACAACTTAGTTGATACTTTTGTCTTGGTTTATCACTTTCTTTTTACACTTTGAAAGTTGTTAATTATGTGTTTATGAATATTTTGTAATTTCAGTCTGTTGTTTTATAGCATGAGTTGTAAGTTTCTCGTTAATATGATTACACTGAATCATCCAGGTGTTGCCTGCAGCCAACCTTGTTAATATAAACAACCATGTGTTATTTGGTATGTCTTTGTACCACATTTCTTTTTTTTTTTACTGACTTGTATTGTCTTAGTGTTTGTGGAATGTTCTTCCAACTTGTGTATGGAAGACATCTTAACATGTATATGTGCATTCCTCAACCATGTTCCAGATTGTTTACTGTTTTGTACAATATTGTCGTGTAATAAGCATGATCTGTGTGGACCCCTTAAGAGCTTCTAAGCTACTTTTGAAGCATGTTTTCAAATTTTTATATACATGACAATCCTATATGGTCATATACAATTTATATATATATTCTGTGTATTACCCATATATTTTACTTATAAAGTCTCTTTTTCTATGTGTTTTTTTAATGTATTGATAATGAATAAACATATAAATATATATATATATACATAAAGATAGAGAAAAAGGAAAATTTAAAGACATCTTAAACAAATATGTGAAAGTAGTGGAGGAGTTAATGAAGACTGATAATATCCTTAGAAGTCTTTCTGGAATGAAATTTTTTCACCAGCCAGGACTCTTTGAAAATTAAAACGTTAAAAATTCTCATCTATAACATGAATCAATACCAAATTTATTTAAAATATTGACTGATGAACAGATTTTCTTGTAATATTGGTCTGCATGTATAACAGCTTTGTTAATCTATGTGTATTTTTATATGTGTAAGTTAACTATTTGTTCTTAGATTGTATCAATTT